TCTTCTCGATCTTGTGCCGGCACTGGACGGTGGATTTGGGAGGGTCGGAAGGGGCTGGGGAGTCGGCCAACGCGATGGTGGCGGTGTCCCATTTGGCAGCCAAAAGATTGCCACGGTTGATGGCGAACCACTTGTCGTGGTAGGCCTTGATGAGCTCGACGGTCTCGTCCCAAGGCCCACGAACCAGGAAACGCCTTTGTATCAGTTCCCTTCCGCCATTTCTTTGTCCGCAGCAGCTCTTCCCTTTAAGTTGTCATCGTTCCCCTGCCTTGTGTTCGTGGAACTTGTTCGATCTTCACATGTCACGGAGTTTTGTTACCGTTGTAGTCCTGCCATCTTCATAAAGATCACAAAGCCGCCAATGAAAGAAGAGCAAGTTTTGTGTATTGATGGAGAAATGTATTTTCTTTCCCTAGGCTTTGTTAGGAACTTATGATTCTTCTAAAGGTGCGAGGCAGTCACTATCAAGGAAGCGATCGTCCCCTCCGCGTTCATAATTGGCCAGCTTTGCGTCCTCACCATTCTAACTTTCAAGCTGGGCATGCCCATCGTTCATGCTCCAGCTTGAGGGGGAGAATAGGGAGTCAACATACGTTGGTCGACTAGCTCAGTCATAAAGTCGATCGCGATGTATCAAGTGAGTTTAAGATATGTAGTCAACCGTCCCCGTCAGGTCGTTCAAGAGACGCAATCAACCATCTTCGTCACGAAGTTCAAGAAGACGTAGTCAACCGTCTCCGTCAGATCGTTCAAGAGACGCAATCAACCGTCATCGTCACGAAGTTCAAGAAGACGCAGTCAACCGTCTCCATCATCAGGTTGTTCAAAGAGAGAGTCAGGCATCTCCAATCAACCTCGTCTGAGATGTTATTCATCTCGAGTTTTGTTGTTCAAGCTTGTCATGCTTGTTTGTCACATTTCCTTTTTCAAGTTTGACATTCTTGTCATTCATGTCTTCGCTTGAGGCGGAGTGTTGAGGATATTAATTACTTAGTCAAAAGTAATTAATTCCTTGTCATCCAAGTCCCTTGTTTCCTAGTTCTTGTCAAAGAAGGAAACTTGGTTGTTATTAGGGTTTTAACCCTACGTCTATATAAGCTTAGATACAGAGATTGTCGTAAGCAAGACGTCACGTCACAATGTAGTCGTTCAATAAAACGTTAGTCGTGAGCTCTTTCTAGCTCACCGTGAATTAGCCTTGATTAATCAATTGATCGACAATACCACGTAAAATCTCGTGCCTCGTGTTCAATTTCAATTCTTCATCATCCAATTCTTCAAACTATAATTCGATTCGAAATCGATTGTAATGAAATGAGTATTCATAGCTTCCAGACAACACTCTTAAATCGTCAAGTACTAAAGATTGCAACGCATAACATTAAAACACAAACCACAAAATCCAAATCCACAAAAGCTTGGCTGTTACCTCAATCCAAACCCATCAAAACCGAGAAATCGTCACTCCTCTCGCCGAACTCAATCGTGTGACTACTCGCCACCCCGCCGCCGTAGACGTACCGTACCCTTCACTCCCCACCTCCGACGGCGTCGTTTCCACCTCTGCAACAACACCTCCCACCCGCTGCTTACTAGACCCAGTTCCCACCACCCGACCCAACTCCCACCCATTGGTCCCGACCAGAGGCGGGAAATTCAGCTTCGCCTTGGCGTTGTGGATCCGGTTTATCGCCCGGTCGTACGCCAACGCCGCTCCCTTGGGGGCGTCGTAGGTCCCAAGCCACCAATGTCCAAACTAAGTCGATGGAATGTACCGACTAGTTTTTCCTGGTGAATAGTTTGGCTATTTAAAATGACAGAAAAAGGAAATAAATACAAAGTATAGAATATGTTGTAGAAATCTCAGATACAAACAAAAGAAACAGGCAAGCAACATATGCATGGAAACACCAACATATAACAACTTCTTTCGATGAAATCTTGTCAAATCACTCTGCTACACTAAACAAACAAATGACTTACATCTCTGTACTTTCTATCTCTTCAATCTGTATAAGTCAATCGTTATGTAACCTCTCCATTCTCACGATTTTTATCCTTCTCGACAACAAACACATTGATTGTTCCTCTCTTACTCCTTCTTCATGGCAGCTACATGGCATTTTGCATCAGTGCACATTAATCCAAACAATCATTCATTGTTGCAACTTATGGCTTGAGGTAATATCACTTCAGTCACAATACGAATTTACATGAAATGAAATAAATGATCAGTATAGCTTGTAAAATTTAGAGTACTAATGTCGATTCTCTTTTCTCCTCGGTGGCCGCTTCGTCAATAAAATGATATTGGCGGCTATCTCTACCAACGCGTTCTATATGATCATAGTATAGTCTTTTGTATAAAGCGTTTCTTCCTTACCAATTTTTGCATTGCAACTCCAAGAGCTAACTTATTGGGGCTCTCCTCTAGGTAAACATCTTGTATTAACATCAGTAAGACAACAAAAATGATTTGGTCGAGATACTATCAAAATCTTGCATATAAAATCTGTGTGAGAGTGGTATATGATTGAAGCTATTCCCTATGTTAACACTAAGCAAAATAATCTTCGTTTACTGGAAGCTAACAATAAAAACATTCAAATTAGAAAAATGGTGATACTGAAAAGGAGTATCAACACAAAAGCAACAAAAAGTATAGCTATGTATCTTTAATCAACTCAAAAGACAACCTAGAAGATCAACCAAATGAACTGATGGTTAAGAGATCACACATTATTGTCAAAGAGACTAAATAACCCACCAATCAGCTCTCCAAGCAGAACAATCAACCTTCCATATTTACCCCTTCGAAAATTGCTTTGGCGTAACAATATAGGATGAGGAGGTTAGGCGGTTATCGAGTCTGATGGGAAGGTTAGGAGAGACGGTGTTGGTTGAGTGTTTAGTGGGCCGGACACTATTTAGATCTGTTTACATTAGTTGCATCTTTTACATCCACGTTCGACAAACCAACACCACTAAACCTTTCCATATTTACCCCTCTCTTAAAGAATGTGCCTCATATTCACTCAAAATTTCTATGTTAAAAAATGTTGTTGTTTATGGTAGTTATAAAATTTAAGTCCATATTAAGAATTCTGCATCGCTTCTACACATTGAATACTGCAATTGGATATGCAATATTTGCACCAATGACATCAGGGTTGCGATTTTAAAATTATTCTCCTTTTATAAGACAAACAAATATATAATTAATTATTAAACTTAAATTAAACTAATCAAAATATGAAAATAGAAGTATCAAATACCAAGAAAATATTTACGGGAGAGTACGTAAGTGAGTTAGCTAACCATGGTGGAAAATTCCTATGATTTTTCAAATTTAAGCTTCATGTAAGTTTTTAGTTTAAAAATATTAATTTTTTTTAGTGTAACTGGTTATTTTTCTTGTCTTTTTTCAAAGAGATCACAGTTTAAATCTCATCAATGATGTATTTTTTCTTGTAAATAAGAAAAATAATACATGAATATGAAGACGAATCTTCTCTTCCAACTTTCATTATGGATGCAAGGATGTTGTAATGGGAAAAACTCCTTTTCCATTTCACTATTATATTAGGTGTAGCGAAAGTAAGTGCGGTGGTTGAGCGTTTAGTGGGATTGAGCCCGTTTACATAATAGCGCCTTGACCATCCGCATTCGTCAAACCAATAACACTCAATCTTTCCATATTTACCCCTCCAAAAATTGCTCTGACGTAACAATAGAGCTGGAGGAGGTTAGCCGGTTGCTCAGTCTGATGGAAAGTTTGGATAGACGGCGATGGTTGAGCGATTAGTGGGTCGGGGTGCTATTCGGGCCCGTTTACATGAGTAGTGCTTTTTCCATCCGTGTTCGGCAAACCAAATCACTCAACATTTCCATATTTATCCCTCTCTTAAAGACACATGTGCCACATATTAACTCAAAACTTCTGTGTTCAAAAAACAAAATATCATTGATTTATGGTAGTTATAAAAATTAAGTCTATGTTAATCATTTTACATCGTTTCTGCATAGTCAAGAGTGCAATTCGATATGACATATTTAAACCAATGACATTTGAGTTGCTAAAATTATCCTCTTTTTATAAGATAAATAGAAATTAAAGTAATTATTAAACTCAAATTAAAAAATAAAATATGAAATTAGAAGTATCAAATACCAAAAAAGTATTTACAGGAAAGTTAGTGGATTAGCTAACCGTGGTGAAAAAGTCATATGATTTTTCATATTTAACCTTCATGTATGTTTTTAATTTAAAAAGATCAAACAAATTTTTTTAGTGTAATTGGTCATGTTTCTTCTCTTTGTTTGAAAAGATCATAGTTCGAATCTCATTCTTGATACATTTTTTCATGGAAATAAAAATAATAATTAAAAACAATAAATGACTGTGAAGACAAAGTTAGCCTTCTTCCTACTTTCACTCAAGATATGAAGGAAATTTTAAATGGGGTCCAAGTTTCCCCATTTCACTTTTATTTATTGTGTAGATTAGTCATGTCGCACAACATATGCTAATCTTTTTTCCTTATTACTTATCCGCTATATTTTGTTCTTGCAATAGTTTTTGGAGAGTAATTAATGTCTTATAAGAGGAGAACATAATCAATCATAATATAAGCAAATAAAAACAAACTTTCTTTGGTTCGAAGTAGGGATGACAACTTCAATCCATCATGTAGGGTATTATTCGACCTAACATGTGATGAGACGAGTATTACCCGATCCGCACTAGAGTGTGATATGACATGTGAGGCTACTGCTGGCCTCCCCCATCCCGTTCTTGATCTATCATATCTCATTTTTCCCCAATATTTTTTCATATTTTGACTTTTTTTCAATCATATTTCCTTCAAACGAAACTTTAAGTAGGTACAATATTTGATCTTTAAGTTAGCCATTCTATTATAACTATTTTTTTCCAGAAAATACTTGTAAAACACGAAAGAATAAAGAACTCGAGAGTTTTAACGTGGTTTCCCCAAGTACCGGGACTACTCCACGGAGAGCGGCGCTCTCAAGCAAAGTTTCACTAATCCGTCAAGTCTTACAGGGAGAAGCCGAAATCCCCATCACGTAAGTACAGGAGAGTTTCGGCTAACCTACTTAGGCCTTTCCACAAGCAGCTAGGTTAAGTGGTAAATAACAAAAGCGGTCCTCCATATAAAATCGAATACAAATCAGCACAACTCCGCCCAATAATTTATAATGTGCTTTCTCTTTGTTTTATAGTAATTAATAAATAGTTAAAAGTTTACGGGGCAGGTATGGGCAGTCAGTGAGCTCAGCTCCCCGACTCAGAATTCCCCTAGGGAGGCACCTCCTAGATCTAGCGTGGGGTTTACGTCTCTCATTTTTCCATCACCATTTAACATTATGGAAATGATGACTAGTTAGTTATTGACTACAGTCGAGAGTTTGTATCCGGATAAGTACACATGACAACTTACAAAAGGAGCCGCTGTACAAGTTCGTCACCATATTCCAAATTAGGATCACTGGGTCTGGGAAACCATCAAAACAGGTCCTGCTGCTTCATCTTCTATTGTTGTTCCTGTTGTTTCATCGTCTGCTTCTTAACGACGCTAACTGAATCTTCCCCGCGTACTCTAGCCGCATCAAAATCACTCCCCTAGAAAAACAAACACACATCATTTGAGTGAATTCGACACACAAACCACTTGCCATAAACTCACAACAACATTGCTAGGCAGAGACTAGTATAGTCTAGGTCCACTCGTATCACATAATTTACCTTGCATAGCGTGGCTGGATTGAAATATCACGAACTTTGATTCTATTGACGGTGCCACTTTGACTTACTAGAACTACTTGTTCATCACTCTCAAAGTCCTCTGTACCCATAGAATAGGAAAAAGAAGAAGAGGCAAAGACTCAGAATACTGTTCAGATGGGTTACCATAGACATACAAAGCATAAGATAAGAGCATGCTTTCCATGAGCATTGACCTCTGAATCAACTGCATACCTGTTAGTGAGAAACCAACCACAAAGACTGCTGCCAAATGCCACTCTTCCTCTGAAAACTGACATGAGTTCAGGGCATCATGAGTTGTGTTTTCGGAACAAAACCAACAATTTCAGATGAATATTGCCAGTAAATATGTGCTTAGGGATTGAACTGCTGTAAGAGCCAGACAACAACCTAAGGACTAAGCAGAAACAAGTAATCACAAAGTAAAGTCAATGAGTCACCATAACAACAACTTGAGATTTACTGAACGCATGATGAGAGTATCTAGTTGTTGAGTGCAGTAAATGGGTCGATTAAACATGAGAAACAGAAGACATATCCTTACAAAGAATTATGTGAATAATATAGAACATACATTAGGCCAGCAGAACTTATAAGACTCCCTCTTTTCGCCAGAGACTAAAACTCAATGCAACAAGCAACGTTTAACTATATGTACCAAACATTCACATTAGCGAACTCAACTGAAGATATTCATATAAAGCATGATAAACAGCATGGAGTGATTACCTCAAATAAAGAATGTGGTCATGTGATCGACAGACCATAAAATCTGACATTGCATTATTGACTCTCAATTTTCCGACAGATTTGCCAATGGTTCCACGTTTCTGCAGATTAAAGGTGTTGGGCTTCATCCGATTAACATAACCCTTTTCGCTAATAGCCTGAAAGTCACAAACAAGGATACTTAAGAATAAAGTCATTTCTGCTGGAACCCAATCAAAACAACACACACACACACGCATCATGTAGTAAATCCAAGTACAAGTTCTACTATTAAAAAAAGTACAAGTTCTATTATTGATGTCTAAAATGAGTTCATTCAAAAGAGAGTAAGAAATCAAGAAAATGAAGGATTCATAATGTCACAAACCAACAGAATTTCTTCATTTGGAATAGCATTTATATCTTCAAGCTGACCGTCATCCGAATATTCCAACATAGAGCGCCTTGGGTTTGAAAATTTGTGCTTGAGCTCAACAGCTTCTTGTTCTATCAGCTGGCGCATAGAACACAGAGGGTTTATAGGAGGTTCAATAATACTTCTTTACCAGAGAAACTAATAATGGGCAGAATAAAAGCTGGAAAAATTGGAGTATGACCTGTAGCATCTTCCCCTTGCTTGCTAGTAGTTCTTCTAATTTTGAGATTTGTTCTGTTAGAGATTTCTTTTCATCTACATATTTACTTCTCTGCACAAAAAGGTGTAATTTGCCTTCAGATGATCACTAAAATATCTTATTTTAAGACAAATATAACTATACAAACAAAGCATCATTTATCCACCTCCATATGGATGAGCCTTCGGAGGCTTATATCTAATATAGCTTCTGCTTGCTTACTTGAAATATTGAATTCTGTAGGAGAAGAAAACAAATAAATAAAAAAAGAAAGAAAAGATCAATTACCCATACTTCTTGGTAAAGATTTAACATGGTCAAGTAAGTAATGCAAGTGGTACCACATCAAATGACATAACCTCATGAACAAACAGAAGAGATTTATGACAACATACAATTTCATTCTGAGAACAACATCATGCCGTCTGAAGTATACATATATCGACACCTTCAGTCATTTAAAACATACATATAAGCTATACCGATATATCAGGTCAGTTCAGTCAGCACAACCCTTCAACTTATCCAAGCTGTAGATGATATTATACCGTCTAATTTGAAGTCAAAATAACTAGTCTTCACTGTAGCACGAAACTAAAGTTCACCAGTAATCAAAGAAAGGGTAAATGAAAAAGAAGATCCTGGAATAAAACAATGTGCAAAAACTTGGGACAGTCAAAGGCTCCAGAAAACATTTCACGAACCATAATCCAGTTTAAATAATATGCTTAAACCTTTTCTCCTCCTCTTTACCCAATAAGTCCCCAACAGTAAGAAGAAAAAAGCTCCAAAGTCCTAACCAAGAAGGACAGCAAACAATCATATGACAACTGAATCAAAACTCACAGACAAGTTGTCACTTCTGTTTATATAAAAACATAACACAAATGGAACTTAAAATATAACTCAGTAAAATTCAGAAACTCAAATGACTGGAAGTTTAAGGCAGCAGTAGGAAATAAAAGTCAAATAAGTTCCTGATCTTAAAACAAAACATAGCATACCATTCATTAGACTAGTCGATGCAGCTGCATTGCTGGAAGCTTCCTTAATGATTTGAAGAATGTGATCCAAATTATCAAGGCCCACCACGATACCCTGAGAAGAAACGACACTATTAAGTCCATCAACCCCTAGAAGCGTATAAGTGAAGAGCGGAATAATGCAAGTGAATCAATTGAATATCTTTCCTGAAAATCACTCTTCCACATAAAGAAACTAGATCAAACACAAGCACAGGTAGACATCTTGAGTTGGCTAATAAAGAAGCACTTAGTAGTATATTCCATGACATACCATGGTTTAACTAACAAGGCAATCACCTAGCATACCTCAACAATGTGTCTCTTCTCTTGAGCTTGTGAAAGTTTGAACCGCGCACGTCGCTCAACAACAGAGCATCTAACGTCTAAAAATGTCTGGCAAGGGCAAAACAAGATTAGGTTTACACCCACAATATTTTCTGAAACTGGTAATGCATAAAACATGCGTGAGAAGAACATCGACTTCTCCAATGAAACTATGCGTGAGAAATCACCTGAAGCAATTCTTTCAGTCCCATCAGTTTAGGTTGTCCATCCAGAATACTGTGCCAGAACACCAATCATGAGTATATTAAGCAGCTTGTTAGACAAAAAAAAATGTACACCCACAAAAAAACATGCTGGAGCGACCACCCATTTAAATCAACTAAAATTAAACTCACCATGCTCTTCCATATATTAAAACATGCTCAAACTCATTACTCTCTCTCCTCCATAAACGAAGGGTGACCTAAGAGAGATTGAGAAGTTCAAAAGTATTAAAGCAGATATTTATATCCAGTTCCATGACCTGAGAACCCCTTTGCAAGAAAAAAATGCACTAGTTCCAAACTAAGTTAGGGTCAACCCATATAATACATTTCACTATGCAGAACACGTGAAATGGTCATTAGCTAATGACATTGCAAAAAAAGAATGACGTCCAGTCTCAACTCTCAAACAATCCTTTACGCACTTAATGGGTTTAACCAGTTGAAGTTAAAAGGCAAACAGAATAAGAACCACCAGATTTCATGTGAACCACTTTAAGACAATGAAACTACTCACCCAACCATGTTGCGGGTAAAACTAGATTGAAGTTGAGTCAGACGATAAAGTTTATTCAAAACAAGCGCTGGTTCTGCTCCACGTTTCAGCTGCAAATTGAAGTGAAGCACTTTTTTCCTTAAAGTACACTCTTAGCAAATATTTATTATACCTCGATCACAATACGCATACCAGTACGATCACTTTCATCACGGATATCAGTTACGCCATCTATACTCTGTAAATTCAAATGACAAAGGAATACATCAGTTTCTAGCCTCACAAATCAGAAGTTTATCAAAGGTCAGGCTATAATAACAAGAGCTTAAGATCTCTTTCAGATTACCCTTCTTGGCATCTCTCTTTCCCTCACGGCACACAGATGACGATGTATAAAGCATGTTAACAAACTCTTAACTTTCTGGTGTATTGTGGAACAGAGCGGGCAGACACAATAATAAAAATAAAATATATCAGTACCCACACATTTTATACTACTCATTCCTCAACGAAACTAAACATGATTACCTACACTATGCTTAGAAGATACCACATTAGGAATAAAAATCCCATGCATACTATAGTAAGAAATTCTAGGGGGATCTCTCTAGCAGCAAAAGAAGAAGAAGCAAGGGTAATGATTTGAGTCAATGCTTGAAAGCACAAAGTCAGAATTACACTTCCTCATACCCTAGATTTCCCATAATTAGACCTCCAGTAGGGAAATCAGGCCCTGGCATGTACTCCAAGAGTTCTTGCAACTGTCAAAGGAACAGAGATGGTAAGCTGAATGAACAGGAAGGAACTATTATATGCTGAAGTTGGAAATAGAATAGCAACAATTTAGTGGGCACCTTTCTGTACAAACTATATATTATCCTCTACGATCAGACTAAACAATTTAGATAACCAGCATCTACAATCAGACTAAACAACTAGAAAGCATCAAGCTCATGATAATCAATTTTCCAAATAAGCAACCAAATTGACACAATCCTTACATATTCTCAGCACTCTTAAGAGGAAGGGATCACTTTCTTATCTCCCCGCTATATCAACGTACACAAAACTGAACAATGAAACATCATCTCAAAATTTGCCCACCATCTCCTCTCAGTTATGAGGATCGCTGGCTGTTTAAATCCAGAAACTTGTTCAATAAGTACACAAGACATAACCAAGGCTCCCATCTCCTGATACAAAGAAGAATTTTACCAAAACAACCTTCCAGGAAGATGCCCTTCCCTAGAAAAGGAACTTTCCGCCTAGACCCCATACACTCACATCACAAGAGAGTAGAAGCACAACAACTCAAAGTTTAGTCGTTATCCATCAACAAAATGCATCTCCACTCAGAAATATAACCAAGAATTTTTCAGGTTCACATCAGCAGATTCAGCATGACAAAGGACATTCCATAATGATCCACTGAATCTGTACTAGGAAGTACGTTGATTCTTTCGGTCTCCTTTAATTAGTAAAGTGGGAGGTGAGATAAAGGTTTATTGGAACTCGACACATTATGGCTAGTCCAATGCTTCCTGTAGGAATGGATATTTCCGAAAAAATAATGCATCTAACTCGTACTTACAGTGGCTTCTGGGTTGTGAATTAAAGTGCATAGGACATTGACCAGCTCTCCGAGGTTATGGGGAGGAATATTGGTTGCCATGCCAACCTAGCAAATGTGAAAAGCTACTATCAATAACAAGTAGATGCCTCTGAATAACCACTGCGCTAGAAACAGAAATATAGCTAAGTTACCGTAATCCAGAAGAGCCATTCAATAACAAAGTTGGAAGACGAGCAGGAAAAAGTGAGGGTTCCTTTTGGGAATTATCAAAATTGGGCACAAAATTAACCTGCTAATTTGTTAAAGAAAAAGGAGCAGGTCAACAATTTTCTGAGCACCTAAGAATAAGACAAGCTCTTACCGTATCTTGTTCCAGATCAGCCAGCAAAACTGCCTCTGCTAATGCCTACAATGGAATATGCAGAACTTACAACCATATGGCATAAAATAATGCTTCTAATAGTTGAAAGAATTAGTTATTTCAGAAATTTCAGAAATTCTGGAATTGCGAGTGAGCAAGGTCCACAAATTGATTTCAACTTGTGATAGCACTATAGAAAGATAGTAATAGAAAATAATTGTGCCAGCTGCTAACATAGTTGAATCTAACAAATACGGTTGGACACAAATCTACCGATAAGGAAAGTAAGGACATACTTGCAGCCTTCATTCTGTATAACGCATAGCAGCAGCTGGATCAGCATCTATGGAATCGGAATTGGCATGGCCTTGGATAAGTGGACACCTCAAAGAAAAATCCTGGATCAAGTGGAAGAGGATTTCCAAGTGAACGTATAAGCAATAAAACTCACAGCAATCACTCACTTGAAAAATGGATGTAAAGCATTACAGGCGAAACTTAAGGAATGAATGAAAACACAATGAGGGTTCTCTCAGTTGACACATACTATTTGGTAAACATTCTGTGAGATATCAAAGCCATGACTAGATTATATCACTCTTTGGTCAGGAACTGCTTTTGCATAAGCTCGCCAAGAGGAACAAATTATACGACTAAATCTAGTTTTGGGGCTTTCAGTCACAGTTCATCGTCCGAAGAGCATCACATAATAGAACTTGTAAATAGAATAGCATTGTAAAACGGATTGGCACTGGGGTTATCATACCCCACTCAAATTTCAACCTATCGAAGAGGCAGCAAAGAACTAAAGGGCCTTGAAACAAAAACATTCGCCCTGCCGACACTTCAACATGAAAAGCAAAAAATGGCCTATGCAGATGGTCTTGTATCATATACAACAAACACATCATATTAGATAATCTAACGAGTGAAGCCACCTATGCAAAGGATAACAGGGGAAATAACGATTGAAAACCTCTTGGAGTTGTAACAGTATAACCTTCCCTTCCATAATCACTGTGATCCAGTTCGATTGAAGTAAACGGCAGATTCGAACTCTGGAAATCATGCAGATTGGTTAGAAAAAGTATGATCTTCAAAGGGGAACTCAATGTCGATAGTGAACTTACATGAAGGCAGAAGCTGCAGAGGCCTTGTATCTTGTGTTGATCCTAAAATGCAGAGCAGATAGAAAAATCCTCTTCGTCAAAACATTATGCAAATCAATTTCACCGGCGGTGGCTAAAATGTCAGATCCAAAGTGCACGGATTCAGATAGCAAAAGTGGAGATTCTTCACAAGCGGACAAAAGTGTTAGATCCATACCTTGCAGAACAGATTAATTGAGAAATTATGTAGCAAGTCATGTTGAAATATTTGAGAAGGCTGCAAATATGCCTTGCTACCAGGCAGGGACCAGTTAGGCATCACAGGAGGCCGAGATGAATGTCTCTCTTTTGCTTGCCTCGACACTCTCATTCATTATGTATTTCATATCAGTAAATGGACTGGTTTGGTGAATTTATGCTTGATTGCGACTTTTATTTCCAGAAGTTTGAATTTTACTAGAGGTTTCTGGATAATTGAGAGGTATAGCTAGAAGGTAAACTTCAGTGTCTTTTCGGTTGGAAACGAAGACCCACAGTTGGGAGATAGCCTATCATAAATAGGCAGTTACAAGTTCAAATCATAGCCTATCATAAAGACAGAGTTACAAGTTCATATCATAACAGCCATCATCACTTGGGTCATAGTAGAAGAGACAAAACAGTTACAAGATAGTGTATGCCCTAAACACAAGTCCAAAATAGCTGCAACAAGTGGAAACTATCTAAGCGAAAACAACACGTAAACCTGGGACCCTCCTAAGAAAACTCCTGCAGCAGAAGAACGAAGACCACAAAATCGGATCATGCCCCCCTAGCTCGTCGTTACAAGTTCATATCATAACCACCATCATCACTTGGGTCATAGTAGAAGAGACAAAACAGTTACAGGATAGTGTATGCCCTAAACACAAGTCCAAAATAGCTGCAACAAGTGGAAACTATCTAAGCGAAAACACCACGTAAACCTGGGACCCTCCTAAGAAAACTCCTGCCGCAGAAGAACGAAGACCACAAAATCGGATCATGCCCCCCTAGCTCGTTGTTGTTCGAGCAACAAATCAGGAGCTGTTGGGCTTCGAAATAGAAAGTGAACCGTTTTCCCCCGTTTGAAAGAGAATCAAGCCATCGATTGGAATGCCGAGCGGCACGAATGGGCCGTTGATGATGTTAGGGTGTTGAATCGAGCACCTTGGCTGCCATAGCGTGCCATTGAATAGAAATAACTTGATATTGGAAGCATCTCTGGCACAAAGGCACAATTGGGATCGAAGAAGTCCCAAATTCAGCTCAAAGCCGCGTTGCAGCTGTTCTGGCAAAGTCCAGCAACTGAGAACGTGGTTGCCAAGGGAGAACGCGACGATGAAACCCGACAGGTGATCAGCTCCCCTTAACCCATCAGAGCCTAGAACCGAAAGGTCATGTGTTCGAATCTCCACGACCCCCAATATTAACCGTTGTCTTTCAAGCACATGGTATGGTGGGCCTGTGCAAACTTCAAGCCCATGGGTTGGCTTTCGTTTGAGGGGGCGTGTTAGAGAGTGGTTAGAGACTAAGTCAATACACTCTATCACATGATACTCCGAAATCCAGAGTAAGGAACCATTATACTCAGTAGCAAGTCTCTGGTTACAGAGCAAGGGGTCAAACAAAGACCAAGGAGCAGATTGCACAACCCCGGACGCGATTGAATAGACCTCCACAACCTGATAATTGCTGTTCAAGTACTCCAAAACCCTCATAAACTTGAATTGGTGGGAGTTTAGGTCGAAGCCAAATCCTGAGGCCCTAACTGATACGCTAATATCGGGTTCCCAGAGCAAACCTAGGCCGGCATTCCTCAGATTCAATAGTTGCGTCCTAGAACGGAGCTGGAGATTATTTACCTGGCGAAACCAACGGAAGTATGGGTTGTACAGGTAGATGCGAAGACCAGAGATAACGCATAGAAGTCCTAGGCTGGAGCCGACGAGCTGGAAGTTCTGGACACCAAGTTGTGCTTGATTATGAACCGTAGGAAAAGTGTAGAGCTCCCTTCGGGCAAGTAGTTCATGAACACGGAGAGCGGAGGTGCTGTATTGCTGGAGAGCTCCTCCCAGGGCCTGTGAAGGTTTGTGGAAGAGACTTGTCTTGAGAGGTTGATTGCCCTTTAGCGCACGAGAGACACAGAGTGTCTCTACGGCGGTGAGCCAGCTAAGGCAGACGGAGGAGGCCCGTACATGATCCGCATCAACCTCCAGCTTCCCCATAATCTCGATGAGAAGATCACCAGGGTGATCAGAGAAAGATCGCGCCATTGTTGGAGGATTCTGAGCAGAGTTTGAGCAGATGGTCGATGGCTGCGGCTCGGCAGCGGAGATCTGGGGAAGAAGGGATTACTGCTCCCCGGGAGGGTAACCTGTATCTTGGGCTGAAGGGCCTAATTTTGCTGCTGTCTCCGTCCCAGGCCCCTCCACTCCATCCAATAGGTAAAACCCATTAGGCCCATTGGGTTCGTCGCCACCAAATGCTAGATCATTTCTCGGGAAGATTATGAACCCCCATCCTTTGACCTGAAAATAAAGCAAAACAGTAGCAGTTAGAAAATTGTTGTATATGATAAACAAGAAATTAAACAAGCAGTGAAAATTAGGTCGCCACCTGATGAGTTTTGATCGTGCAACACAGGGACTCCGGTATGGAATTTGTAGAGGCCATGAAGAAAGAAGCAATTTGGGTGAGGCGTTTGTTTTGGGGTGAACAAGAGACTTCTCATATAGCAAGAGGAAATAAATTGTTTTATTTGTAAAGGAGACAAGTATTGAATAAAATAGTTGGCTATGGAGTATTGAACGGCTGAATACCGCCTCGAATGCCGGTTTGCTAGGTCTAGGCTATAAATAAAATATGGAAATTTGTTCCAAAACCAAGGTTGTCAACTCGCGGGTTGACCCGGACCCGGTCGAGCTAGTGGGTCAAGGGTTAATGGGTCAACCGTTTTAGCCCGGTTTGGCCCGGAAATATAGAAAGAGTCATTATATTGTACTTATCCTCATAAATTATATCAAATCTTATCTAACATATGAGTTATAACATATAATATTACACAAAAATAACATATTGTACTTAGATCCAACATATAGTGAAAATTCACACACACTTATATAACATAAATATTCAAATGTTCAACTTAGTATTCCAAAGATTGAGTTAGGCGAAAAGAAAAATTGGAAAATAGGTGCATTTCGCAAACTAAAGAAAAAAATGACACAATTTGACCTCCAACCCGGTACCTAATAGCGGTCGGCCCGGCGGGTGCGTGCGGCCCGTTTTTCTCGCCGGGTCAGGGTCAAATTGGGTCGACCCGTGGGTCAACCCACGGGTTGACAACCTTGTCCAAAACAATACACACCACGTTATTAATTTCCCTTTCCCAATATAGGTTTAGGTTAATAATATCTTGCATGCGTTATTATCTCACCAACCAACCCGCAATTGGTGGTGGTCATTAGGGGCTCAAGATAGGGTGCATAACCATGGGTTATGCACCCATCAATAACCAAATCTGGACCCTTCATTTAGAAAATCCAGATCTAAGGATGGAGAATTAAAGACTATTTTTATTTTCACTAGCTTTCTTAATTGACTCGTATCTTTTTCGTTTTAACTCGGATTTTAATTTTTTTTTGCACAGATGGAACGAGTTCACCGTGCTCTACAAAATGAGATCAATTTTCAATATTTTTTTAGGAAAAAAAAATTATGGCCTCTCGGTACCAACTGCATACCATATGGTATCTTCTTCGTTTTTAATTCGTTTTTGAAAACGTTTGCACAGCAGGGATGAGTTCATCATGATCTACTGGATCTACAAATTTCTGGGTGAACAAATTACAGGACCAAAAAATACCACACAATACCATACAATACCACCCTGGTACGGGGTGGTATTGTATGGTATCTTCTTCGTTTTTAATTCGTTTTTGAAAACGTTTGCACAAAAGGGACGAGTTCATCATGATCTATTGGATCTACAAATTTCTGGGTGAACAAATTACAGGACCAAAAAATACCACACAATACCATACAATACCACCCTGGTACGGGGTGGTATTGTGTGGTATACAATGTTAAAAGTCGTAAATTACAATTAATATACTTCTACTATCATGTATTCAACCATACTACAGTATTGGTTTGTTCATACCACCATGGTACGTTTTTCAAAACATAGGTATGCTTTTATTTCAATACCAGTCAATACCATATGGTATAGGCTGGTAAAAAATGACTCAATTTTTTTTGTTCGAAAAATATATTAAAGTGGATATCATTTTGAAAAGCACAATTAATCTGATCTAACTGTGCAAAAAAAATTAAATTTCGACTTAAAATGAGCGAGAAATCGTCCGTCAAAGATTAAAGAGGGAAAAATTAAAGGCTTTTCATGAGAGAGAGGATGCTGATGTCATGCTGATGTGGACGGGTTACTCATGGTTACTCACCATAAGGTTACTGACTTGATCCATTCCCGTCATTAGGGGTGGAAGTTTGGTTTGCGGGTTGTCAGTAACCCGCAAACCGCACACTTTGTGGATACCCATACCCACAATTTGTGGATAGTGGGTAGCAAAATATTGATTTTTGTGGTTAGTGGTTAACCACTACCCATAGTGGTTTACCCACAAAACCCACATTAACCACATTAGTTATATTTATTTCTTCAGAATACTTTGTAACCCGCATTAACCAATTAGTTATATTAGTTTGTGAAACTTGGAAGACTAAGAATTAAAGTAGCTACCAAAATCAAATATGCACTTATTCTATAAAACAAAATCAAAACACTACGCAATGTACATGTGAGATACTTTTATTATATAAGCATTGTCCCTGTGTTATATGTTTATTTTATAAAAAATCCAAGTCCATAGATATAGTCAGATAAATTAATCGATTCGTTAAAAGAGGGGAATAATCGATAAATGTTAGTCACATACCCAAACTCATCTCCATTTCTCCACGAACTCACGAACAACACAACATGCAACCAACTACCAACAACACAAGACTATAATCGAAAATGGAGAATAATCAATTCATTAAAAGCGGGCGCCTCCACTTATCGAGCCACTTTTGTGTTTTGCTGTTCTTGCCATCGGAGGAGCCGTGACATGCAATGATGTTAGTCTGGTAAAATATCACTTCGCCTCTCCGTTATTTCAAATCTCTTTCCAAATCCATCTCTTCTGAATTTACACTAACTAACCTATTGTATTCGAGATTTATAATTTATTTTACACTTTATTAACTTTCTTTTATGTATGTTTTTGTTTTTGTGTGAGAAGAAATACAACATCACTATTTAATTACATTATTATTATATTTAATGTGAAATTTTTGTGGGTATCCACAACCAACCCGCACCAACCAGCAGCGGGTAGTGGTTAACCACTATCCACTGCGGGGCGGATTGTGGGTAGCATAATTCTATATTTGTGGGTGTAGTTACCCGCAAAATGTGGGGCGGGTAACCACACCCACCCCAATTTTCACCTCTAGTGGTCATCATAAATTATGGCGTGTAATCTGTTGGGAATACCATTTTATTTATCAACTAAACAAATATATCTAAAATAGGTGATATCTATAATATTATTATGCCTGCATTATTATCTCACAATCATGAATTTTTTTACCTACCCTCATACGAATTATTACGATATAATGACGTGTTGGTGATCGGGTTCCAAAATTGGTCTTTTGAACCAAAAAGTAGGGATGGCAAAAATATCCGTAACCGTGGATATCCGCCCGAATCCAACCTAATCGGGTAGGGTAAAACCCGAACCCGAAGAGCTTTTAGTGGGTACGGATAAAACCAGAACCCGAATATTGCGGGTGGGCATGGTTTTCTCACTATCCAACCCGAACCCGCCCGATTATACATTGATTTATTGGAACTCGACACATTGATTATTAATAAAATGGGTTATGATTTAGGACTTTTAGGTTTTAAGGTTGTCGTCACAATTGTTTTGTTCTTCTGCTTATGTTTTCTGTTTTAATGTTGCATTTGCTTTGTTGCCAAAAGTAGTTGTAGGATCTGAGAAGGCTATTGATAATCCGCATTTCAAACGAAAATAGTTTGTTCTGCTCGTAATGACTGTTTACCAGTGGAGTGAATTATTATTATTGATGATTTAATTGCACCATTGTAAACTTGTTTGTACCCTTGAATCTTTCAGGGGGGGAAAAAGATGCACCATGACAATAAAAACAACTCAGTAATGAAGTGCTCGATTTTTGGTGATACCTAACACTTATTTCCCCTCCACTAATTGCTATTTCAATTGTCACTCATCTATTGGACATCCAGAACAGTGGGCTTGATCTTGCTTGGAAGCATGAATGCAGAACAGTGCTAGTTCAGTCTGACTCGCAGCTTGCGCTTCAGCTTATTACTTCTCGTCACGACCCGATCCATCCCTATGCTACTTTGCTTGCAGCCATTCGCAGGAAGATCAACAGAGATTGGTTGGTTCGCCTGGCGCATACATATCGGGAAGGGAATAGAGTCGCGGACTGGCTCTCGAAGCACAGTCTCGTCTATCCCTACGGTATGCATGAGTTAGTGAACCCGCCACCAGGAGTTTCTTCGATTCTCAGAGCTGATGTAATGGGAGTCACCAACACCCGCAGGGTGGTTGCTTCCTCCTCCTCTACTCTTTCCCTCACCCCATGTAACTTTCTTCCTTCTTGGCCGTGGCCTCCCTCTTATGCAAAAAAAAAAAATCTATTGGACATCCAAAAGTAGATCCATCATGTAACTTTTAATTTTGGGTTCGAACGGATCCACTTGATGACTTGACTTGAGTAGTGATTAATCCGCGGATTGATATCGATCCAACCGCAAATAACCAGACCCGCATACAATGGCTGATTGATGTGGGTGGATTGCGGATTGTTAAATCTCCCACCCGCACTTATGTGGGTGGATGGTGGGTGGATTGCGGGTCATCCGTATGACCCGCGTCCTATTTTTACAAGGAAAAATATTGTTTCTTATAGTATCATATTTTCGAACTGCACTATAGTCTGAACATATACTTCAAAAGGTGGAGAATAAATAATAGTTTTGACAACTATTATTGGTTATTGTGTTGTGCGATATCCATTGGATATTGGTATACAAATTATTGTTAATATCCATTAAATATTGAGATACAAACTACAAATTATTAACCATATCAAAATCACAAATTATTGATACAAACTTACTAATTTGCTATGAATTTATTATAAATGTTAGTCAATTTTCTTAATGGCTAGTTGGAGAATTGCTTTTGCCGGTTAACCCGCAATCCTACCGCACTCATCCGCCACCCACCCAACCCACCCCGCATAAGTATGTGGGTGGATTGTGGGTCACATGTATTCCAACCCGCTAGTAAGCAGGTGGGTCAATTTTAGACCAAAATCCATCCAACCCGCCCATTGCCCACCCCTAATGAGTAGTGACAAGCCTTAGGTTGATCATGTATAGCTTCTTATCAGATTTTTCTAGATACTCTGTTTATAATCTCTTGTACATTTCTTAATATCTTCTGCAACACTTTGTACCGGCCCCATTTTATGTAGGACTGGGAAATGGTGCGGTCTGGTCCATATCAGACCATATAGACGGTCTATGGTCCAGATCAAGAGACTAAAGTATAGACCAGAGATCAGAACACATACTATACGGTCCAGACCAGACCGCGTCTGCACGGTCTGGTTCGGTACGGTTTGGTCCAGACAGACTACATTGAACAAAAAATAAACACTTTGTTAAGTCATCCACACTAAAATAGAACAAATAATTGAGGAAATAAAATTTTTTTTTTTTTTTGCCTTAAAACATAAAATCCAACATGCATGAATAATTTTGACTCTTAAATCTTAGTAAATAATAAAGATACAAAGTCGAAGATCCCAACTCGCACCATAACATCACAAACATTAACATAATCATATAGAGACACAATCGTCTTTATTCTCTAGTGAAATGTGGTTGCAGTGAAGGAGGAGAAGAGATTCTCAAAATTAAGGTTGAGACTTGAGTCTCGTTGGCGAAGTTGGGAAAGTGGTCGAGTGGGATACTAACATGTATTAGGAAGTCGACTAGATCCATAGTTTGGTCTGGTAAACCGCGGTCTAGACCAGACCAGACCAAGAGATCAAAATTTCATATAATACATACCATGGACCAGACCAAGAGATCAAAATTTCATATAATACATACCATGGACCAGACCATTCTTTACAGTCTACGATCCTGACCAAATTATGCGGTCTAATTTAGTCCACGAATTTTCAAACGATCTGGTCTAATTTCCTAGTCCTACTTCTATGCAATATCAATTAGAAAAATGCTTTGTTAGAAACCCACCAGGCTCAGAACTTAAGGGCACAATCATTTACAACGCATATCACATATGACAAATCTTTATTTAACCTCAATATCAGCCCTAACAGAAGAAGCCTGCAGCTTAAGAAAGAGATGACAACAGAAAATGTTAAACCTTCAAATATCCAACTGCATTACAATGAGATTTCCTAACTACTAGTATGGGGGCCAAAAGAGACACTCAAAAGATCCCAAACTCCACGTTCCCAAATCTGCCCAGCCTACAAACTGGTCATGGATCGGAAGAGGCCCCACATAACTTAAATCTTTCGCCACAATAACTTAACGCTTCCAACAATAGTAACTTAGAAGAGAATGGAGAACTTATTCAGTAACATAAGGTCATGGCAGAGATTACAGGGCACCCTAACAATAATAATAAACACCCCCTAATGATGATGATATGTTTTATTAAACCCGCAGCTAAGATGGCAAACAAAGTGCTCAATCTTCTTCCTCTGGTGATGATGCTTGGAAAGCTATACAGTAGTTAAGTCCTTGTGGGTGTAGGTTACACCCTTATCACCATCTACTATTTGTCCACTGCCTCTCAGTAACCTGCAAATGCAACGTAGAGCAATAGGGCAGCTTGTTCAGGAAAAGAAAAGGGTCCTTCTTTGTTCTGCATAAAAAGGAACTTCCTTTCCAGGAAAACTAAAAATGGAATGAAACATGTGGGCAGGGGATGAAAGGAGATTGGAGTGTCGGGTATTACCAACGGGTTGTTAACAATCCTTCGACTCCTACAGGGCCTCGAGCATGGATTCTACTCGTACTGATTCCAACCTGTTTACCCCATCCATCAAGAAAAATCCAGTAATAAGCATAACGCAATCTTAGTTAAAGATGCATATATAAGATTGACATTTGAGTTATTGACCTCTGCCCCAAGTCCAAACCGAGCTCCATCACAGAACCTTGTGCTGGCATTGTGGAAAACAGCAGCACTGCATTGGGTAAAAAGAAGAACCGGCATTGCAATGTCAATGATTATAAAACTGAAGCAACAATGATTTGAGACAAAACCATAATATTGTCTATGTGGGCTAGTTACCTGTCAACTTGTCTCAAAAAGTCTCTGCAACTTCACGGTCTTCTGATATGATGCAATCAGTATGGGCACTGTCAACAAGACGAGCAAACATCAGCAGACAAATTCGGTATGAAATGTCAGAAGAACTTGTATACACAAAATCAATTAAAATCTTGCCTTCCGTGTCCATGTAATCAATGGCAGCATGCACATCGTCAACAATCTCAACAGTACATGCAAGGGAACTGTACTCATGATGTAATGATGCCGGCTCTGGGATGCTCAGCTCCTCGCTTGCCCTTGGCCCACCATGCAGAACCACACCTGAATTACAGAAACATCTCGCAATGAATAGGTTTAATGACTATAACTTACAGGACGACCTAAAACCCAGAAGAGGCTGTAAACAGTATTCCATCAGTACCTTCATTCCGAAGTTCAAGTGCTAGCTCATTCAGGCCACCAGAGGACACTAAATCCTTATGCACTAGAAGTGTTTCCTGGACAATGTAAAGTAAAAGCAAAACAGGTTTAGGTTCGTAATTCGTGAACAAGAAAAGCACGCGAAATGGGGACCAAGTTAAGGAGATGAGAGTAAGTCAGCTATTATACCATTGCATTACAGGCTGCTGGATAATCCACTTTTGCATCCACTACAATACGCTTGGCCGTTTGCATATTAGCAGACTTGTCAACATATACATGACAGACTCCATCTGTTTAGTAGCACAACACATGTGACTTCCATATTTGGCTGCGTCAACAGACCGACAAATGAAAATAATGTTATTTATTACCTGCATGACCCAGAACAGGGATCTTGGTTGATGCTTTGATAGTCGAAACCAGTTTATTGCTGCCCCTAGGAATGACAAGATCGATTACATCATCGAGCTGATTTAAGGGGGGAAAAGGCAACACATCAGTCAAAACTCTCTTTCCAAGTTTTACGAAACAGAGTCATCGCATACATTGCATCATAGTTCTAACAACTATCCACCTTAAGTAGGTCAGGAATTTCATCTCTTGAGGTCACCAGTCCAATAAGCCTTCTCCCAACATGGTCTGGAATGGCATCAGTGATCACCTGTATATATATATTTTTTTCGTTTAAAACAAATTATAAGGGGAAGAGTAAATACGTAGGCTAAATAATTAATGTTCAAACTTCAGAGAGCAAAGAAGCAGACCTTGTGCAAAATTGCATTTGATCGCCTGGCCTCCTTTCCCCCTTTCAGTAAGAGACCATTTCCACTGCGGATCGCCAATGAAGCAATCTATTTAAAAGAATACAGCAAACTTAAAACAAATGACACAGATTTTATTTTAGGGCGAGCACGAAGGTTGCTGACCATACTATAATATAACCCACCTGCACTAGTGCATCAGGCCGAGCCTCAAAAACAATTAGCAGAACACCGAGAGGAGATGATGTCTTCTCTAACACAAGACCATCTGCAAGCTGGAACCATAAAACGGTATTGAGTAACACCTACCAACACAAAACATTTGGTAACATAGCAAAACAGATATAAGACTAATACCGATTGTTCCTGACCCCCAAACATCATTTTTAAGCCCATCCAAACAATTTCAGTACTTAGGTCAGGTGGATGTAATCAGACAACTTCCCATTGATGAGGGGCTGTTTGTTTTTAAAATGTGCATTTATCACTCTTATTTTCCCACTCTTTCTGCCCTAACTTATAGTGCAGGCTTAAATCATCACAATTTCAGCCAGAAAATAAAGTAGCGCATATATAAGGTTGTGTTACTAGAGTTGAAATCATAACAAGTTCAACTCAGCACTAGGAGAAGAAAGATATATCCTTACCTCGGTCGTCTTTAAAACGTGACCGACTGGATCTTCCATGCTCGCAAGGACACGTAATGATTTTGAAAGACTTGTAATCTGGAAAGTAAGCATAAAAAAGGATGAGAAATGCATAAAGATAGAAAAATGGTCCAGACAAGGTCAAGAGCATAAAGTGATAAACAGACAGTATGTAAATCCAAGTCTATGCAACACGGCATTGTCTTGCCTTGCCAGGCTTTAGAGCCAGCCGTGCTATCAAGGACTTCTCCATTCCAGCCTGTTCAGCAGCAGCAACATCTGCCTCATTTTCAACCTTGATTACTTTTTCATTGGCTTCTAGAGCATTTGCTATGTCCAGCAAAATCTTTTTCCTATCTTCTGAAGATAGTGCCTGTAGAAGAGGGCACAAACCGAGGAATGCTATAAAGTTAGGGCAAGGTAGAATTATAAATCAATTGCACAAACAAAATCAAAAGCTTCCTTTAACAGTGCAAAGAGATGGGATAATCCACAGAACCTGCAGCCTTCTAGAACATTCCCTTGCTGCAACCGCCATGTCTCGAGCACCTGTTTCTTTGGTTTTGACCCACAAATGAGCATCACGGTGAAAGAGAGTGCCGACATCATCTCCTTGGAGGACTTTCAGTATGCTCTCAGGATCAAATCCGCTTTAAAAGGAGCCAGCTCAAAGATTATTATACATCGATGGACAGTACAAGATAATATCTTACACGGGAGAGAAATCAGAATTTTAAACGGGATCTGCAACAAAATCATGAAAGAAAAACTACATCTAGAGTTAGCTTTTCCAAAATAGAAGCACAGATCCTATATAGCACGGAAGAATACCTGGTTATAATGACAGGGACACCTGCCTTAGCCGCCATTACAGCAGCTTTTACTTTGGCTGTCATGCCCCCTCTTCCCAGCCTGGACTTGTCTCCAAATGTGATTCCACCCAGATGAACTCTCTCAATGTATGTACGAATCAACTTCGACTCTGGATCACTGGGTGGACCACTGTAAAGACCCTCCACATCGCTCAGCAGAACAAGAAGATCAGCGTTCAGCTCCAGTGCCAACAAAGCTGCCAAACTATCATTATCCCAAAATATACCAGACGAATCCTGTAGAAGTAAGTTCCCACGGGTCAGAACTATCAATTGAGGTGAGAAGAATCCTGTAGAATAGACTATTATGCTGTTAACAAAGACCAGGGAGAAAAGGCGGGTCAAGAGGGAGGTGCATAGATAATCAAAATCAACAGATGGAAAATAGTTAATTAATCTTGCCTAATTTGGCTGTAAACCAAAACCAGTGTATTGACCTTCCCCAAGGATAAAAAAACAAAGTTTAAGACTTTATCATGCTCTGATGTGAGAAAACCAGAAGGAGAACCAAGACAAAGTGACATGCCTCGTATGGTGCTCGCCTAGTACTAACAGCATCATTTTCGTTGATTATGGGAACAACCCTTAGCGACATCAGCGACTCTATAGTATGCTTAAGTTGCTTCCTGAATTCTTTATCCCTAAAGTCTGAATCAGTCACAAGAAGTTGAGCAGATGTCACATCCAGCTGCACAAGACAAGATGCAGTTCATTAGACAATGTGTCATGAACAGAACCCCAAATTAACAGAGCACAAGGATGATGAACAGAACCAAAAATATAAATATATTTGAATAAAACTCCAGCATATTGGTAAGAAGACTAATTCTATGAATCACCTGACTAAACAATGTGTCATAAAGGGCCATGATACAATTCTGCCCAACAGCAGCACAAGCTTTACCATCGGGACCATCTTGTGGCTTTTGGAGATCAGCAAAACTACAACACCACAAACACAAATCAAATCGGTATCTCCCAATCTAACCAAATAGTCCTATATTTAGAACTATAACAGCACGAAAGATAATTTATTTACCCCGTTAACAGATTACCACTCGAAGAGAAGAAAAAAAAACAGATGGGCCCAAGAAATGCATCTTAGAATAGAAAAATGGGAAGTGAGGGAAGTACCTGCTATTGACCAACTGGCGGTATTTCAGCCTTTGGCGGCCAAGGCCAACAGCACCAGAGGTAACAACAATGACTTCATAATGCTGGTAATTCAGCTCTTTAATCTGCGCCCACCATTTTTCATATTTATAAAGACGTCTTTTCACACGAAAAAAACATATGACAAACAATAAAAACAAAGCCCAGAAAGAGAAGGGGGAAAAACGATTAACAACCTGCTCGCAGAGCGCTCCCAATCTTCCAAGTGCCAATCTTCCATCACCTCTGGTGACAACAGCAGTCCCAACCTGCAATGACAATCAAACCCAAAAGAAGTAAAGGGTCAAAACGAGGTCAAAATTGATTGCAGCCATTGTTATCCCTAAAAGGGTAACAAAGAGGCATGATGAAGATGATGATGATTCTCCAGAAGCACAGAGTTGCTTGACAGCAGCTAAGGAGAAATGCTCTGTTCTTGGACTGAAGAACAAACCGAAGAAAGAAGAACAGAGCAATACGGCAGCGTTCAAGACAAAGAGAGTGATGCACAACAAAACGATGACGTGCAGGACCAATGGAACGCAGCACTTCAATAACGGAAGAACTTTCACAATTTACTGTAGATAGCAACACATGTACAGATTTGATAGGTTCATTTGGTTGTTAGTTTTATTAGCCGTTAAAGTACAGTGATTAGTGTAGACCCTGTATATATATTGCTTTTGCATCAATGGAAAAGCTCAGAGAGCAAATTCCCCAGATCTGGACTTTCTTCTCATGGTATCAGAGCCTGGTTGCTCTCACCAGTGCTAGGGTTTCGTCCCCTGTCCATTTCTTCTTTCATCTTCTTCTTCTGAAACCAATTTCTTCAAGCAAACATGGGTGATGAATCATCCGCAGGAAAATCAACACAAACCTCATCTGCTTCTGCAAGTTCAGTCTATGACGATCCTTACCTCAACCCATATTACCTTCCGCCACAAGATGGAGCCCTTTCCACCATCATCTCTGTGAAGCTCGTCGACGGCAACTATCACACATGGAGCCAAGTGATGCTCGTAGCTCTTGCCACCAAGAACAAAGTTGGGTTCATCGATGGTACTATTCCTACTCCACAGGTAACAGAACCCACTTACCAGTCTTGGCTCCGTTGCAATGGAACAATTCGTTGCTGGATTTATAACTCTTTGGCTGAGGATATAGCAAATAGTGTCATGGGTTTGGAAACTGCTCGAGCTGTTTGGGACAATCTGAAGAACAGATTTAGTCAAGAGGACAATATTAGGGTTTATGATTTGAATGGAGCATTGGGTAAATGTGTTCAAGGAGAACAATCAGTGAGTCAATACTTTACCAATGCTACTGTTTTGTGGGAAGAATACAAGAAATACCGTCCGATTCCCACTTGCCCTTGTAATGGTCCTTATGAAACTATGAAAAGATATCAGGATAATGATTTTGTGATCAAGTTTATGCAAGGGTTGAATGATATGTATCAGTCTGCCAGAACCCAGGTTCTCATGAACTCCACTTTGCCACCAATTGATGTTGTTTTTAAACAAATCTTGCAACTGGAACGTCAGATGAAGAGTGTGCATAAGACCAAAGGAGTGGAGTCTGTGGCTTTGGCTGTTGGTGGAGGACAGAATTCTAATTCTAACAGCAGGGATTATAAGGATGGCAAGAAATTTTGCAGGTACTGCAAGAAGGAAAACCACATTATAAGTGAATGTTACAGATTGAAAAACAAGAAAAGTAGAGAAGCTGGTGGTTCAGGCTTTGCTGGTTCAGTGGAAACTGGGACAGATGCAGACTCTAGCATCCTTGGAGCAGCATCTGCAGTTCATGATGCATCTGGCAGACCTAATTCTTCAGGCCTTGCTGGTTCAGGACTGGCCAGTTTGCAACTCACTAATGATCAGATGGAAAGGTTGAGGATACTGCTTCTTGGGACACCTCCTCCTCAATCTTCTCCCTCACCACCAACCTCTCCATCAATTAGGCATGCTGCCAATGCCACAATCACCAGCCAACAGCAGCAACCTGCTCATTCTGGAACTTCTCAATATCATCCAGTTTACTTGCCATCAAGTTCAGGTACAACTGTCCTCTCTACTCTTGTGGCCAGCACAACAGAACCATTATGGGTTCTTGATACTGGTGCTACTGATCACATAGTTTGTGATCTGAAGTACTACTTGAAGTATAAGACATTGCAAGGTGTCTTTGTTAACTTGCCAAATGGCAATAAGGTCCAGGCCACACACATAGGGATAGTTAGACTTCCCTGTGGACTTTTTCTTTCTCAAGTCCTATTTGTTCCTAGCTTTAGCTACAATCTTGTTTCAGTAAGCAAACTCACCAAAAACAATCCCATCTCACTTCTCTTTAAATCCTCTTTCTGTGTGATTCAGTTGCTTATTACACAGAGGAGGATTGGTTTAGCCCAAGTGGATAAGGGTCTCTACCTGTTCAATGACACCAAATTCTCCACTGAAGGTTGTCATTCCACCACTCCAAAGTGTCTTGCTGCCTCTCAACTCAATTTCCAGCCTCAAAGCTTTGATATCTGGCATGCCAGATTGGGACATCCTTATATATCTAGATTAGAAACTATACATAAACAGAATCCAGATGTAATAGTTTCTAAACTTCTCCATTGTGATGTTTGTCATCTGTCAAAACAGAAAAGAACACCATTTCCTACTAGTACTTCTGTTCATTCCAGTTTGTTTGGATTGATTCATGTTGACATTTGGGGTCCCTTGAGTACAACTTCCTATAATGGTTTTAATTACTTTTTGACCATTGTTGATGACTTAAGTAGATGTGTGTGGACCTATTTGATGAAATCTAAGGATGAATCTAGACTGTTATTACAGTCCTTCTGTGTTATGGTTAAAAACCAGTTCAACAAGAATGTTCAGATTATCAGGACAGACCAAGGAATGGAATTCCATATGACTGACTTTTACAGAGATCATGGGATTGAACATCAGATGAGTGTTGCTTACACTCCACAGCAGAATGGGAGAGTGGAAAGGAAGCATCAACATCTTTTAAATGTGGCAAGAGCACTTAAATTTCAATCTGGTCTTCCCCTCACTTACTGGAGTGAATTTATTCTCCATGCTGCATATTTAATCAACAGGATTCCTACTCCTGTTTTAAACAATGTCAGTCCTTATGAGAAGCTGTATGGAGTTCCACCTAACTATAGTTCCTTGAAGGTCTTTGGCTGTCTGGTTTATGCCTCTACTGCTGGTCCACATAGAACAAAGTTCTCCCCACGATCCAAACAGTGCATTTTCCTTGGAATCCCTGCAGGGATCAAAGGTTTTAAGCTGCTGGATCTTGAAAGCAAACGAGTTTTTTGTTCAAGGGATGTTATCTTTCATGAAACCATCCTTCCCTACTCAAACCATTCTTCTGCCACTTCTCCTTCTTCTATTCCTGAACCAGCTTCACACCCTTTCACACCTTTACCTACATCACCTTCTAACCTCCATTTTCAGACATCCACTTCTCCATCCAGTTCCACACATCATGAGAATCCACAGTCTGAGGGGGGCACACAGTCTCCCTCTTCTCCCTCTTCTCCAACACATTTTTCTGCACAGCCTTCTTCTCCTTCCAAAAATCAGACTCCTCAATCACAGCCTGTGGATTCACAGGATACTGATTCATCTCCAATTCCCATTTTATCTCCTCTTCACTCATCCCCCATTATTTCTCCTCCTCCTGTTTCAGCTTCCCCCTTTTCACCAATACCTCTCAATAGCCCTTCTCATTCTCCTTCCCATGCTCAATTAAGAAAATCTGTCAGAACAATCAGACCACCAAATTGGCACAAAGACTACCATATTCCTCATCCTATCCACAAAGCATTGTCCTATACTCATTTGCTTCCTAAACACCAGCATTTTATAAATAGTTTAACTGCACACACAGAACCTGCTTCTTACCAAGAAGCAATGCAGAACCCTCATTGGAACAAAGCAGTGCAGGAAGAATTGAAGGCCTTGATTGACAATGGCACATGGGAGATCAAAGATCTACCAGTTGGCAAGAAACCAATAGGTTGCAAATGGGTTTTCAGAGTGAAATTGTACTCAGATGGATCAGTAGAGAGGTATAAAGCAAGACTGGTTGCTAAAGGGTACACTCAAGTGTATGGAATTGACTACTGTGACACCTTCTCACCAGTAGCCAAGTTAAGTTCAGTCAAAACCTTGCTTGCAGTGGCAGCTGTTCAAAACTGGCATTTGCATCAAATGGATGTGAGCAATGCATTCTTAAATGGAGATTTAACAGAGGAGGTTTACATGGAAATACCTCCTGGTCTTGATCTAGGTTTTGATTGCAAAGGGAAGGTTTGCCATTTGAAAAAGTCCCTCTATGGTTTGAAGCAGGCTAGCAGGCAGTGGTACTCCAAACTCACTGAAAGTTTATTAAAGCATGGTTTCCAGCAAAGTACCTCAGATTACTCTATCTTTACAGCTCAGATTCTTGGAGAATTAGTAGTACTGATTGTGTATGTTGATGACATCATGATTGGGAGTGTTAGTCTGGAATCCATTACTGAGACAAAGAGAATCTTGCAGGGAGAATTCAAAATGAAAGATTTGGGGGAGTTGAAGTATTTTCTTGGTCTGGAAGTCACAAGAGGAGTTAGAGGGATTACAGTTTCACAAAGGAAATACTGCCTGGAGCTTTTGACAGAATCTGGATTTGAAAATTGCAAGCCAGCAGCCACTCCTATTTATGTTAAAGAAGTTTTGTCTGCTTCAGGAGGAACTCCTTTGAGTGACATTGCAGGTTATAAACACCTTGTTGGACAATTGCAGTACCTAACAACTACTAGACCAGACATAGCATTTGCAGTTCAGCAGCTATGTACATATCAGGATAGTCCAACAACACTGCATTTAAGGGCTCTACATAGAGTCCTTCGATACCTTAAGGGTTCACCAGGTCAAGGATTGCTTTATTCTAAGGATACTAAGCTTGAATTGACAGGGTTCAGTGATTCAGATTGGGCTACTTGCCCAGACACCAGGAAATCTATAACTGGTTACTGTACCTTTCTTGGTTCAGGAGTTATAACGTGGAAAAGTAAGAAACAAAAGACAGTATCCAGATCTTCTTCAGAGGCAGAATACAGAGCCTTAGCTAGTTTGAGTTGTGAGATTGAATGGCTGATCAGATTATTGAAGGATTTTGGAGTTGAGCATCCTCAAACAGTTAAGGTATTCTGTGATAATCAATCCGCTATTCATATTGCTGAAAATCCTGTGTTTCATGAAAGAACAAAACATATTGATGTGGATTGTCATGTCATAAGAGAAAGAGTGCAATCAGGATTGATTGCTTTGCAGCATATTCCAACAGAAGATCAACCTGCAGATATTTTTACTAAGAGTCTTTCAGTTGATCGATTTGCATCTTTGTTGTCCAAGCTGGGAGTATATGATATATACTCGCCAGCTTGTGGGAGGGTAACAAAGAGGCATGATGAAGATGATGATGATTCTCCAGAAGCACAGAGTTGCTTGACAGCAGCTAAGGAGAAATGCTCTGTTCTTGGACTGAAGAACAAACCGAAGAAAGAAGAACAGAGCAATACGGCAGCGTTCAAGACAAAGAGAGTGATGCACAACAAAACGATGACGTGCAGGACGAATGGAACGCAGCACTTCAATAACGGAAGAACTTTCACAATTTACTGTAGATAGCAACACGTGTACAGATTTGATAGGTTCATTTGGTTGTTAGTTTTATTAGCCGTTAAAGTACAGTGATTAGTGTAGACCCTGTATATATATTGCTTTTGCATCAATGGAAAAGCTCAGAGAGCAAATTCCCCAGATCTGGACTTTCTTCTCAAAGGGTAGGAAGGAAACACAATCATAAAGAGGAAAAGAGGCGAACTTTGATGACGATACGCTTCACTTCCTTCACAAATGTCCGAGGGGTCTCGGCGGCGCCGCCGTTCATCATGGTGGCAGTCAGTAGGGGGAGTGACGCCGCGACTCGAGAGAGAGAGAGAGAGAGAGAGAGAGAAATGGGTGGGTGGGATTGGAGGGAGATAGTTTGGAGATGCGGAGAAGAGATGCGGATCCGATGGAACTAAACTATAATTCGATTCGAACTTTGTGGAGTGTTTCAGGGACCCTGTATGCTTCATTTTTTGTTTGCTTTCAACCGAACCAAACCGATGCCCACCCTATGTCCCTAATCTATAAGATATATGAAGCCAAAACAAGTGTTTAGTTTGCAGGGATTCAAATTTCCAGCCCGCAGAGGGTTTGTCGGAAGGGCACTATAGGCAATTCACACTTAAATAAAGCTGTGCGTTTCACCTCCAACACTTTCTGCGGGTGGACCTGGGCAGTTTATTATATAGTCGGGCCGGGCTGTTGCCCCCTGAAGTATCCGGCCCAAACTATTCCCCCCTGACGTACTAGGCCCAAAGACTGCTGGTGAAATGATTCCATCGAAATCTCTCGGAACCCATAGTCAGCTGTTGTGGCAGTCCATGCCGTGTTTACTTCTTTCTCCATATCGCTTTCGGTCTGAAGCTCTGCAGTTCAATACTACATCTCCATATCGCTTTCGGTCTCAAGCCCTGCACTTCAATACTACATATGCAATTGTGAGGGACGCCTGGGCGGAGGGAGTTGCTACTCCTCCAATTGAATTCCCCAACTCCTCCCCAGCTGTAAGTGTGAAGGGTGTGTGTCAAGAGGGGAGGGATTGGAGATGCGTGGGAGGAGAGAGCTTCTACAGCCTTTCGTGGTGGCCTAAGTAAACCTTTATTTTTGATCAATTAGCGCTTGCTGGTTCATGATTAAGTGTGATTGCAGTCAAGATAATGTCCGGAAATCAACAAACTGGTGGAACCTCTTCAGTGCAGACCAGTGCTCCCAACCGTCGCAATTCAAAGGGCAAATGTAATTTGATTTCTTTGGTTTTTTTCATGTTCCGCTGGTATTGTACGTATTCAAAATGGACACCACATATACTTGCTGACTTAATTCTGTCGTATTTTGCAGGGTTCATGCGAGCTATATTCAACCCGCCGAAACCTCCTTCCAATAAACAAACCGCTGCTGAAAGGGATCGTCTTAAGCAACGTAGTTCCGCGATTCATTTTTTGGTACATTTAATTAAAGTTTACTTTGGCACAAAAGCAGAATCATTTGATTTGTATATTTCAATTGCAGAAATACTCACCCTTCAAACACAAGTTGAGCATATTGATCGCTTGATAGCTAAATTCTATCGAAAACGACGACGGGAGATCTTGAACGCGCGCTTGCGACGTACTGTTCAATATATTCCACATGGTAAGCTTAGCATCTTTTAAACGCTTTTATTATGCATACCATAGTCCATATGTGCATTGCGTTGTATATGTCGCGGAGCAGGATTCCACGTCGTACTAATGGATTTAGTTCATGCATAATTAACTTTGTTACCACAGATTATAGTTCATGTATCTCCAACCTTCGGACAAAAAGGGCACGTTTAATGCGAGCGATTCATTTGTACAAAAGGCGGATGGTTAATGCTGTACCGAGGGGGTTCTCCCGTTCCCATGGTTTGTGGCATCATATTTTATATTTGTATATTGTAAATATGTATGCATCATGTGTGAGTGATCTTATGTGACTACTTTGATTGTAGGATATCCTGTTGTGGAACTTTTTAGTCTCGGCGAGCCTACAAGCATTTGTCAATACTGTGCAACAATTATGTGGGTGCAAGAAAGTACGGTTCCTACTAGGAGTCGTGTTAATCCCACTTTCTCATTGTGTTGCAAGGCTGGAAAGGTAAAACTACCCCCTAGACGTGCTCCACCAGAGTTTTTGAATGAATTGTTACATTCTTCTACACCTATGAGCCGTCATTTCCGGGAAGCCATTCGTAGATACAATGTTGTGTTTTGCTTTATCTCCCTGGGCGGGAAAGTGGATCGTGGTATAAATGATGGTCGAGGGGTGTATGTGTACTCTATAGGAGGACAAATTTATCACTCTATAGGCAGCTTATTACCTGCAGACGGTCAGCCACCGAGGTTTGCCCAATTATACATTCATGACTCAAGCTCTGAACTACAGAGTCGTATGCATCTATTTCCAGTTGATGATGCCTCCAGTTCATTGCGACCAGATATTGTTGAACGCTTGCAAGAAATGTTTGATAGGAACAATGTTCTGGTTCAAACCTTTCGGATGGCTAGGCAAAAGATACAGGAAGGCAATGTGAAAGAGGTGAAGATCAAATTAATTGCCAAGCGTGCTCATGATGGGAGAGAATATGATTTACCGACGGGGAATGACATAGCAGCCTTGATTGTTGATGAAACAGGGCAAGATACATTTGAGCCAGATATTATTGTTCAGTATAAGAGTTCTGAATTGGAGAGAATTAATTATTATCATCCATCATTAATGGCTTTACAATACCCAATTTTATTTCCTTATGGAGAGGATGGATGGCATCCGGACATAAGCTGTGATGATGATGATGATGATGATAATCTTTGGAATGACAAGACACTGTCCCAGTGTGATTATTATGCATACCGCCTATAGAGTAGATTTCAGGAGTCAAATTCGGTTTTATTATCTGGGAAATTATTTCAGCAGTATGTTGTGAATGCGTATGCATTAGTAGAGGCACAACGGCTTGATTGGATCCGAAATAACCAAACAAAACTTCGTTCCCATTATCTGAGTGGGTTAGTGGATGCATTCCTCCGTGGTGATTCTGATTTAGAAATGACTGGAAAACATGTTATTTTGGCTTCTTCCCACACAGGAAGTCCACGGTACAAGTATGAAAACTTCCAGGATGCTATGGCTATTTGTAGGTGGTTGGGCTACCCAGATTTATTTATTACCTTCACCTGTAATGCAAATTGGCCGGAAATCCAGTTTATGGTTGATTTGGTAACCGCAGATGGTCGGAAAGATGTCAATAGATCTGATATTATTGCTCGGGTCTTCAAGCTTAAACTGCAGCAATTAATGTTTGAGATAAGAGATAAGAAAATATTTGGGACTACCACTGGATGTAAGTCGTACATGATCCATAAGTGTTATTTTAGTTTTGAGCAATACTTTTGTTTCATATGTTTGAATTATTTTATGCAGGTTGTCCTTTACATAATAAGGTGTTGGCAGGCTCCAACTTAATACATATTGTATTTGTTTGCAGTTGTGCTGGCAATTGAGTTTCAAAAGCGTGGCCTTCCCCATGCTCATTTGCTGGTCTTCCTAGCTTCGGAATGTAAACTAACTGGGCCGACGGCCATTGATTCCGTCATATCCGCAGAAATTCCAAACTCTGATATTGATCCAGAAGGCTATAGGGCTGTAACTGCTTTTATGCTGCATGGTCCATGTGGTCTTTTGGGCCGTAATGCTCCTTGCACAGAAGGTGGTGTGTGTACTAAACATTTTCCAAAGCCGTTTTGTGAGCAAACGACGATTGATGATAATGGGTTTGCCAAATATCGACGACGTGACAGTGGAATATCGTTTGAAGTTAACTCTGTGTCATTGGACAATCGTTTTGTCGTGCCGTACAATCGCTATTTATTATTGCGATTTGATGCACATATAAATGTTGAGTTCTGCAATAAATCCAGGTATGTTTTTCATACCACATATAATATTTATGCTCGACACTACTTTTTTATTCCCTTCCATGGAAAGTGCCAAATTTGGTAGCTTTTTGTGTGGTTTTTTTATTGGTTTAAACGTATCAGTTTGGTTGTTGCATTACTACTCATTAGTTTTGTTGTGTCCAATTTTTGTTTGACATGGTAGGGCAATCAAATATTTGTTCAAGTATATCAACAAACCACAAGATCGAGCAAAAGCTTCATTAGTTGACAATGAAACTAATACTGGAATTGAATCTGGTGCATCAAGTTCAAATCCCACACCACGGGTTGATGAGATAAAAGCATATCTTGATTGTCGGTATATCACATCTGGTGAAGCATGCTGGAGGTTGTTCAAGTTTGATGTCTACTCACAGTACCCATCAGTGTTGCGCATGTCTTATCATCTTCCTGGGCAGAATGTAGTTGTCTCAAGGCAGCATTCACATCCTCAAGGTGTGCTCCAGTCTAAGCGTGCTCAAACCTCTATGCTGTTGGAATGGATGAAAATGAATAAGTTATTTCCAGAAGCAAGGAAATATACATTTGTAGAATTTCCGCAACATTATGTTTGGGATAAAACAAAGCAGGCGTGGCACAAGAGGAAATCCATGTTCAGTATTGGACGGTTGTATTATTGTCATCCTTCGCCTACAAATGATAGGTTCTATCTGCGTATGCTTCTACATATTGTTCGTGGTGCTCAAAGTTTTGAGGACATCAGGACAGTGAATGGAGTTTTGCATAAATCTTTTAAGGAAGCATGTTATGCGCATGGTCTGTTGGCAGAAGATAATGAATGGAATGACTGTTTGGCCGAAGCGGCTCTTTGGGCATCCGGTAAAAAGCTTAGAACTTTATTTGTTACTATCATCAGCCTCTGTCAAGTTTCAGACATTGGGAAACTATGGGAGCGGAATTGGGCACTGCTATCTGATGATATTTTGTATGCCCGTCGGAAGGAACTAAATATGCCTACTTTAGAAATGTCTGATCTTCAGTTACAGGAATGTTGTTTGCTGGAGATAGATAAATTGCTTGCAAGAAATTGCAAAACTCTATCTGATTTTCCTGGATTACCAGTTATCGATACTGGTAACATGTCATCTTCATCTAATCGATTGATCACTGCAGAGCTTAATTACAATGTTGCAAGTCTTCGTGAGCAATTTGAAGGTATGATTTCCAAGCTCAATGCCCAACAAAAAAAAGCTTTTGATGAAATTACTGAATCGGTGTATGCAGATAAGGGAAATGCATTCTTTATTGATGGATGTGGTGGGACAGGAAAGACCTTCTT